TTGCAATTGAAGAGTTTATTAAAAACACACCTGTTTAAAGAATACTATGAGACATAAAACTGTTATAGCACATAAACTATAATGTCATCAGATTTTTGTAGCGCTATGAGCATATACTTAGTGTATGGAGTTTAGCGCGTTAAAAGTGCACTATTATTATATTAAATATTTTCTAATGTTTAATGGTAGATACAGTACATTCTGGGACCAATGTAGGATAACTTATATGTTTACGTGTGCGAAAGAGAAGAATTTTGCTGGCGATTGGAACTGGTACAGACGAATAATCCAAGGTACCGTACTTTGTAATTAGGTATTGGAGGTACAAATATTTTGTGCAAAATCTCGTAAATTTCATAAAACATTCCATTTAATTGATGTCATTTTTGGGTTCTTTAAAAGGCACTGTGGACCTGGGACACCCGATTAGATTTTATTACATACTTCGAGAAGGTATTTGTCGAGTAATAAAACCTTCTAGTAGTTTATCGAGGGCTGGCCGTCCTTACCGCACGGTACAAATATTATCACCACTAGAAGCAACAAATTCCAGAACAAGCCAGAACTCATACCAAAATGTCCGCTTTATACAAATGAGTATTTAGGGGAATACCAACCCGAACCCTAACCCTAACCCTTTTAAGAGAAGTTAAAACTAAATTAGACCCAAGTTCAGTCTTTTAAAAAGGGTTAGGGTTAGGGTTCGGGTTAGTTATCCCCAAAATTCTCATTTATATAAAGCGGCATTTTTGGACCCCGGAAGCACCCGAACCTCGATAAACTACTAGAAGGTTTTATTTGTACCGTGCGGTAAGGACGGCCAGCCCTCGATAAACTACTAAAAGGTTTTATTACTCAACAAATACCTTCTCGAAGTATGTAATAAAATCGAATCGGGTGCCTGGGAACTCTGTTCAATCTAAATAACCCGACGTGAAATATTTCAAAACACGCCGATATGACTCCCGAGTAGTAATAACTGGGAATGACAATTTTTGTTGAGCTCAAAATTCATTATTTAAACAAAATAATCTCCAGGCTTGTTTATATCGTCTGTATATGATTCTACTAAAACTAGTGTAAACCAGCAAAAGTGTGCAATAACATTGAACATGTCTAGTTATTGCACGGTTAAGCTCCACCCAATCTACTAAAGGGAAAACAATCTGCTTATTCAACCAAAAGAACACGGGAAGAATTCCCGTCCATGTTACAAATAGTAGTTATTCACCCCTAAACAATCCCTATTCTATGTAGGAACGATCCCACCAGAACACTAAACCTAAACATTTTAAGATATGTGTCAAATTTGGAGTCACCCCATCCCAGGATTCGGAGCCCCAAAGCTTCGTTAGTTTCATAGTTTATATCCTGACCTGCTATTCCTTTTAAAGATTAAACACTTACAATATTATAGTTTTCAATGGATTTAAAATATCCTCAAATGACAATGAACAGCTTCTACATGGTTATGTTATATTCTATTATATTCCAATTCTATTATAATTCTATTCTGTATCTTATTGTGAAATAAAATAATAACTAGTCCTTGTTAGAATCGTGTACTGGGATATTTTTATAATATCTGTATAACCTTTCCATTGTGTGTTTTGTATTGGGTAGTCGTGACCTGTTCAACGAAAACGAAAACAAGGGTATACAATATAATGGAATATCAAGAAATTCGTGATGGCTTAAAATCGTTGATCGTCATTGCACTTTTCTGACAATATCTAATTTCTCTTAAGGTGTAATCCACGCTAAATGTACTCAAATTTAATCGAAAATAAAAATCAAAATAACAACAGTAGATAAGCCTCCCGGTTTGGCTTAAATCAGATTAAAAAAGTCGCCAATCAAGAGTTTTCAGCGAAAACAAATGGTGACGCTGGCCTGTGTTAACTATATCCTATGTATCATTTGCAGTGGATGACGGATGTGACTTATACTTTGCGATCAGAGACTTTAATAAAAACACCGAACACATTCAAAACGGGTTTGGGTAAGGCTACATTAATTTGAATATTCGTTCTTTGTGAACACATCACTAGAAATTAGGCTTTATATTTTTTATGGCAAAAGAAAAAAACTGATTTAAAAACAAAACGTACTTGGTTGCACATCTCGAAGACTTTCGACGGCCATTTATTTACCAAGACCCCCGAAGAATTAAATACTAAATTCTTTTGGCCTAAACTGCATCTAATTTCATACTCTAGTCCATACTCCCCACAGTGTTCCGTTTGATAAGAGCTAATCCCACTAAACACTGCTTTAATGGAAGAAAATTTCTGTTCCAAATTATGACTGGCCAATAGTCCGATTAACAACCAATATCTAACTGTGTAACAATTTGATTACGCTTTAGACATAGCTCTACTTTGGACCAAATATTTTTACATAATGTTTCGTCATGACTCGCGATTTTATTATGCCCAAAGTCCAAAGTTTTAGGGAAGAACCCAGATTAAACGAAGGGCTGTCATGTTGCTGTACTTGGGATATATTTGATTGAACGGGGAGAATATACAGACTCCCTCAAAAGCTCAAGTATCAGAAGCCAATCCAACAATGGGTAGAGAGGGATTTATTGGGCCATTGCTTCAGGAATATGACTCTAGTCTTGCTTACCCATAAGTTCAATATCTATAAATTTGTTGGTTTACTCTCATCAAATGGCGATAAAAGTCTCATTAGCACAACAAAGCTTATCAGCGCCGGTCATTTGATGCTAATATTTAAGTCTGCAGATCGCATGGGTGGCCGAATGGTTAACGCGCGCCCGTTGGATCACAAGGTCTATCATTGAGTTAAGTGACGTGGTTTCGATTACCCGCCTGTATGTGACAAGGAGTAGGGTCGCCTGTCCAACCTATTGGGTTTTCTCCGAGTCCTCCGAACCCCCCCCCCCCCAACACACACACACACGACTAAAGACCAATACGCGAATGCGAATTATTAAAATAAAATTGAACCATATGTTAGTCCCGAAATGACCTAGCATGTGTCAAGTGGACGTTAAACCCCATTTCTCTCACTCTCTCGCTTATTTGCGTAAATGTCAATTCAGTCTTTAGGGTTTTTTTTAAACGTAAAGAATTTTAAATATGTTTTACTTGCCTTCATTTAGAATAATTATTTAACCCCCCTCCCCCTCTCTCTCTCTCTCTCTCTCTCTCTCTCTCTTGCTCTCTCGCTCCCCTCCCTCTCTCTCTTTCTCTCTCTCTCGTATTGTGCATTGTCTTGATCTCAGTTGGCATGGGAGACATGTATGGATAAATACATCTTTATTGGTGAAATCGATTTATTTTGTACGGATGTAAACCGAGGTTACAAAATTACGAAACATGTGTCCAGTAGCGGCTTTGTTCTTTGACAGGATACAAATAAATTGCACAATTTTACAGATTTGTGTTTTGAGAAAGATTAAATAATAATTGCACATCCACGTTTTAACAAAATTTAAGGCAATCGACATATCTGTGGGAGTTACGATCCAAAATCGTCCGAAATCCATTGACATCTTTTTACAAGAATGAACACCTTGGTCACTAGTTATTTCGAAATCCGAACAAAACCTTACGAAACCAAAACATTTAGACGAACTATATAGACGAAACCTCAACATTTACCTATTTAGACGAACAATATTGACGAAATCTTAACATTTACCTATTTAGATGAACCATATGGACTAAACATTTACCTATTTAGGCGAACCATATTGACGAAACCTCAAAATGTACCTATTTAGACGAACCATATATGGACGAAATCTCAACATTTGCCTATTTGGGCGTACCATATTGACGAAACCTCATATTTAGACGAACCATATTGACGAAATCTCAACATTTACCTATTTAGACGAACCATACTGACGAAACTTCAACATTTAGCTATTTAGACGAACCATACTGACGAAATCTCAGCATTTACCCATTTAGACAAACCATATTGACGAAACCTCGGCATATATCTATTTAGACGAACCATATTGACGAAACCTCAACATTTATCTATATTATTTAGACGAGCCATATTGACGAAATCTCAACATTTACCTATTTAGACCAACCATGCTGACGAAATCACAACATTTATCCATTTAGACGAACCATATTGACTAAATCACAACGTTTATCTATTTAGGCGAACCATATTGACGAAACTGCAACATTTATCTATTTAGGCGAACCATATACACAAACCTGCAACGTTTACCTATTTAGACGAACCGTGATCCTGGATTGACTGAAAATCAAATCAGCACTTTTAAGACGATTCTTTAGGCGTTCTACAATTTAAATTACTTTTCCAGATTGGCAAATCGCTATTTACTTGAATGAACACTGACATAAGAATATTCCAAATTTATGAAACCTCCACATTTACAAAGCGAAACTTCCACAATTTTGAATTTCAGGGCTGTCGAAATTAAAATATTTCAGACTTCTAAATATAAGTATATAAATAGAAAAGTAAGTGTATGAGTAATCGTGATTCATATGAGAGAGCACAAAACAAATTCGATTGTACAAAAAATATTACTGAGATAATATCAGCTATGTAGCCCTTGGTATCGTTCATTTTAGGGATAAAAACTGTCAAGAGTTGCGGCAGGGTATTTGGCACATTTAAGACACATGTCTAATTGTCCGTGGTCGAACATTAGACCCCATTTTAGCTCATCTGCATTGTGAACCTGAATATATCAGTTTTTAGGTGAATAAAGATTTATTATAAAGATTATATTATAACATTTACCGGTTACGCGAAAAGTGTCACGTCCTTAATGTCAGTCATTGTTCTAAGAAGCTGCTGCTGACATTTTATTCAGAAGGCGTTAATAATCTATCAGCATTGAAAGATATATTTCCTCGATAATCAATATCCTAGATACATAATTATAGATAACTTCAGACGTAGTTAGTGAAAACAAATATATTGTTAAGTTTGCTACTATTAATTATTTTCTATTATTATATTTTCAGATATAACAGCTGTGGTATTAAACTTGATGATTTTAATTGTAACATTGAAACGACGAAAACAGCTCAGATATTCAGATTACTATATCATTAATTTGGCTGTTTGTGATATTGGTCATCCATTGTTTGGTTATCCCATGGCAATCATCGCGTCCTTTTCTCATGAATGGGTTTTCGATAAAATAGGTAATTAACCTTTGTTGTTGAGTAAATGATCATTATAAAAAAGAGATAAATTTAAAAAGGAACATAATGGTTGTTAATGATAGAGAGAGAGAGAGAGAGAGAGATGGGGCAGGTACACTATGTTTGACACTGTCATAGACCTTTCTTGAAACAAAGTGGCTATTGTTTACGATGAGTCTGAGCCAAGTTTAGAACGAATTCCAAAATGGCTGCCAATCTCCCCAACACCAGCTTTGAAAAAGGAGCAGTATTTTCAACGTTTTCAGAACTGAAGGCAGCAATTAAGAGATGGGAAGGGTTAGGGTTAGGACTATTTTTACGACCTTATCAGTTTTTAACTTCGCCGATGGAGGGCTATTTTTACGACTCGTCGTAACAATAGCCACTGCCTTCTTGAAAACACTTAAACATCCGTCATCATCCTCATCTTTCTCTAGTCGTCAGAGTGCGGGATTGAAAGGGACGTCATCTAAATCCGACACTGGGTTGCATGGTTAGTACCCTGAGCCTACAACCAGAATGTGCCTAGAAGAAACCTTGGGATTAAACTATCCAAGTTCACATTTATCAAGGCTGCATGAAATGTAAATGTGTCTAGTCGCTCGGATGGTTCGAACAAGCCAGGTTCAGTGTGCAGGCAAAAGGGTCCCATGGCAGTTGGAATTCGAAGAAAAGTAGGCGAAACGCAGCTTCCCCGATAAATCTCACATTGCACATTCTATATAAAATGATGTTTAATATATTTATTTACAGGTTGTGATATTTATGGCTACTTGGGTTTTCAGTTTGGAGTAGGTAGCATGGCCACGCTAGCTGTGATGGCGTTTGTTCGTTATTTGACCGTCTGTAAACCGTCGTCAGGTATACTTTTATATACATTTAGTTTGGTTTAGTTTAGGACAGGATTACAGCAATCGTCATTGATATTCTCCAACAATACTTAGCTCGAGTATTGGAAATGAAAAGAAATGAGGTTTAGTGCCTTACTGTTCTGTACCGACCGGTATAATTAAAGTAGCTAAGTCTCTAACTCAATATCATCAAAAGTCTTCGACATTGAAAACACGAATTATTTGTCAGTTTATATCGACATTGATGTTGCGACCTTACCGGGAAAATATGGGCTTCTGATATCCAATATGTAAGACAAAATAAACATTTTACCATTGGTATACGAATCGTGTACCATAATGCGTTTCAGCGCCATTTGTAACAAGGGACTCGAAGAACGTGCTTAGACATATTCCACAAGTCACGTCAAAATTTGACGCCATATTCTTATCTGGTGAGCATGCGCAATAAATACTATCGGGTAGACGCTAGAGATTACCATTCGATTGATACTTCTGTCGTATTTCACCGACCATAACTGATTAGAAATTAGAGTAAAAACAGAAACGATTGACTGTAAATCAGTATATATACATTCATATTACATTATTATAAGCGTTGCGCCACCCAATTGTGTCAATTTCTAGGTCTCAAATATTAGCGATTTAGCCCCTTAAGATGATATATACGCCATACAGTTTGCTTGTGATATGAGGGAAAGTTACCGTTTCGGCCTATAATTCTTATTTCGAATTCTGACTGTCCAGAGGTTTTTTTTACGGGACCTTGTTTTTCGTCCCATCTGAACGACTAGGCGCTGTACCTGTGGATGCTTCCTTTCCTGCACCACTGATAACGTGAAACCAAGCTGGAAATCCCTCGCCCAATACCGGGGTCGAATCCCGGATCTCCTGATTAGTCAATCAACGCCGCACTGGCTGCGCCACAGCTCCCCCCCCCCCCCACACACACACATACTCACACCACCACCACGAGTGAGTATTGGTTACTATCGTGTTATTTCTAGGACACTGGCGTACGAATAACGTAGAGTACCGTTAATCCTAAGGCATGGGATGGCATGGGGTTTCATGGCTTGTCATTTAAAGACAAACTGATGGCCATTCTTAATTTCTATGGTTTCATGTGCCATGCGAGCTCTCGCGGACAGAGACGTCTCCATACCTTTTCGCAATTTTTAATCTATCTTTGAATTTCCATACTATTTTTAAATTTCCAACGGTCATTTTGGATTAACATTAACTTTTCGTTCCATTTGAACGACTAGCCGTACCCCTAACAACTGATGGTCGTTTTTTAAAAAACACCAAGGTTTTTCACGACTCGTGACAAATTAGTACATGAACTTTGTTGGGGAACAGAATGTGGATTACAATTTAAATGTTAAATACCCCTCATTTCAGACCTTTATATCACTACGCTATATCTTTATGTGTATGTAATTTAGATTCTTATCACATGATAGGGGTGTTGGATGGCCAAATGGTTAGCACGTGCGCGCTGTATCATAAGGTCTGTCATTGAGACAACTAGTGTGGTTTTGATTTCCCTGTTAAACGTGACAAGGAGTAGGGTCGCCTGTCCAACCTCGTGGGTTTTCTCCGGGTCCTCCGGTGTCTTCCCACTGCTATAGACCCCTACGCGCAAGCGAATTATTGAAATAAAATAAAACCATATGTTAGTCCCAAAATGACCTAGTTTGTGTCAGGTGGACGTTAAACCCCATTTATCTGTCTCTCTTATCACATCATCTCATTCCGGTAGAATGCAATGTATTCCCGGGAATTAGGTCAAAGAATTGACAAATAAAATCTCTAAAACGTCATTTGCCAGTTCTGATAGCAGCGACATCGATAAAGTGATATTGATCTAGCCACACGATGGATGATGGTCTGAAATGCTCACTACGCAAATGACCAGGCATTAATAGAATTTAACAATTGATTTTGAAAACATTAAGAGATCTGTGATAAGACTACCATTGTGTAAATTAGTTCAAATCAAATCTTTAGCTTGATAAAAGTACGTTAATGTGGTCTGGGGTTAAATGAAAAATCGTGTACTCTTCTGTATTTTCGCGCTAATCAGTCAGCACGAACAAAAGAAAGAACAAAGCTCTGTGGGAGGTCATTCCTTTTCAAGGAGGTCGTCAGTTAAATAAAGTCACGTACCATACGCTTATAATTGTTATTTAAATTTTCTAAATTTCCTAATGTCGTCTATTTTCTGTAGCTGGAGAAAGGTCATGGCGTTAGCAATTTGGAACGTTAATATTAGAAAGATCCGGTCGTCCATATTCTTTAATTTCCAACTCTTCTTTGAAAATGCAAGATTAAGGATACTAAAAACGTCAAAGATGATTTTAACCTTTTATTTCCCAAGACAAGAAATTAAAGAAAAATCAGGTCGATATCAATTTGGAAAATTGACATCCGGGAAATGTCCTTAAGTTCCCCCACTGATCTTTGAAGACATAACACAACGGATATTAAGAAAGCCATTCAGAGTATTAAGATTTTGAATACACGTGTACATGAAAGACGTGACAGTTCTGTGCTATTATTGTTTCATTACCGTATAACTGTACTTCTTTATTAAAGAGAAATTGTCTCGTGAAGTCCTGTTAAAACGTATTAAAACAATAGACATTGTCCCATGAAGTCAGTTAGAACATATTAAAACAAGAATAAAATGAAATGAAACGAAAACGGGTTTAACGTCCCACTTTTCTGCACCGACTGGGCTAATGATGACAGGTGTACGTCATACAGAGTGCTATCATAAGGAAATTTGTACCCGGACAGTGGGGCTACGTCAACGTGTCACCTACATGAGACCCCGGTGTGTTGTCCCGTCCGAGCTACTAGACGCTAGACACCTGGATCGAACACCGGACCTCCTTTTTAGTGGTACAGCGTCTTAGTCAGTGAGCCACCGCGGCTCCAATTGTTTTGGTAATTACAGTGCCGTTAATGTTTTCTTTTTCTCAATGTGTTCAGGGATTACGACGAGCCCACCATATGCTCTTTATAAAACAGTATTTTTCTAGACTGATATCACAGCAGTATTAATATTCTAAATATTGCCTCCTAAAAATCTAAGGACTTGAATCTCAAAATTACCTTGGACGGCAATCACTACCATAGTTAGAATACTATGGGAACACCACAGATTTCCCCTACGTGTAAAAATAAAGTAATTCGCCTTAGATGTTAGCAAATTGTTTCACACAGAGGTTATGCAAAAGCCTTATAAAATTTAACCACTGTACTCGATGACAGGCCATCCAGGTCACGCCCCGTAAAATTCTACATGTGACGTCACATCATCTGGCGTCGAATAACATGTGCGTTGTTTACAACTGGTCCGGGTACAATTTGGTCCGGGTACTCATTTTACGCCAAGGCGTACTTCATTGACATTAAGTAGGGGATATTTTTTTATCCAGATATACTTCAAACTCCTTTATTTCGTTTCTCAATAATTTTAAAAATTGTTTTAAAATTCAATTTGCAGAAAGAAACAAAAGTCGCCTCAACCTGATCTCAATCAGCGATATAGGCAGCCAAGCGAATATTTTATTGCTGATCTGTCTGTGATATTTGATATAGTTTAACAGGAAAGTCATGTTATATCCTTTTATAACATAAATGACTGTCATGCTATTATCGAATTGTTGTACACAACTGATTGATTTTTCATTTAATCTGATTTATAACGATTACAAAGAGGCAAAATATTGACTTTTAAATTACGCAGTATCATACCTTCCACTACTAAAACACATGTGTATCGAAACATGCACAGGACAGGATTTGTTTGCACTTTACCAAATATCTTATTGCACTGTAGGGCCCAGCATTTGTATACTGTTAAGTTAATAAGGGAGTGGTTTTTCCCGCGTCAATTCCAAAATAAATACATGTAGATGAAATCTTTTTATAAAGCATCGAACATTCCAGTTGCTTAACACTGCTTAACCAGATCAGAAAAGGCTCATTATTAAACCTAGTCAAGGTATCAATGCAATTAGACTATACACAGAGTTTCATAATTCTCACTCAATTAGAATCATGTTCCAAAGCATGGACAAATCAAATTGCTTTCTTTGCTGAACATCAGCGGATAATGCTCATCATCGGATTAAGTCAAGGCATTCACTTTGAACATTCTACTTCAACTATAAGGAGAGTTACCGTGTTTCAAAGTCTCGACCAATCAAAATGCCATCTCTGTTTTGCCTCAACAGAATAGTCCAGTATTTAACTTAGTCAGAGTACTGATGTAGGGAAAACCTTGCAAAACGTTTCACCACTAAATGGTGTGTCTGACCGGCGGATGGGCGGGAGGATGGACGGGCGAACACATTTCTATATATACTATTCAAAAAAAGTAGGGGATATTTGATTTTGGGGGTATAATACTAAAATATGCAAATGACTACGAAAAAAGTCACTATAGAACCTAACAGAAGAAACATTTCCAGTTACATGTGACGCCCAAACGCACCAATAGCTACCGCATGGAATGCAGGTGATGCTTGGGATCATCATGGGGGTCCAACCCAAGATTTGCACGACTCTGACTTTGAATGTTACAGTCATTGTGGCATTGAATTCCAGGGTGGAAACATCAGTTTAATTGTTTTAGTGACCAGAAAACAAATTTTGATATGCGTCGGCTTACCCAAAATGAAAGGTTACGTGCCCTTGGCATGCTACAGATCGGCACAACACAGGCGGTTGTGGCGCGGACGATGAATGTTTCTCAGTCTGTCATAAGCAGGCTATGGTCCAGATACCGTGATACACAATCTGTACAGGACAGACCACGCTCTGGTCGACCAAGGGCGACAACTCAAGCCCAGGATCGATTTATCCGTACCTTGGCCTTGAGAAATCGTGTCATCACAGCAAATCAGATCAGCGCTCGTCTTCAAACAGACACTGGTGTGAGAGTGAGTGGCCAGACGATTCGGAATCGACTGCATAGGGGTCACCTTCGCGCCC